CCTCTCGTCTGCTTCTCCTTCCCCCTTTCCTCAAAAACTCCCCGAAGCTGCACTTGCGGCTGTAACGCAACGCGTTATTGCATTTCCGGGGGAGAGAGAGAAAGCGCCTGTCCTGCAACCCAAGCCCAAAAATTAGTGTAGAGAGCGCTGGGTGTATTTGGGCAGGGGACCAGCAGTACCAGGAGCAGCAGGAGTTGACCGGGATGCTCCATCCCTAAACCAGAGTTGGAGCGTGTTCCTGGAGCCGGGGAGCTGCTCTTCACCTGCGCTCCAAACGACTCCGAGAGAAAGAGAAAACTGCCCTAATCCCGGATTTATCACGGCTGTTTGAAACAAAGCATACCCTGCAATAGCCTTTATCCAGGAGGGGCCAAGACCTCAGATCCCCTGGCTGAAGATGCCTCGGTCGGGACATATGGAAAGCACTTTCACTGCAGAGGAGTGAGTCAAAATGAGCTCCTCTGCTGCTTTCTCTTACCCACTTATATTCACGTAGAAGATAAGGACATTACTATTATTATTATTATTATTATTATTATTATTATTATTATTATTATTATTATTATTACTACTACTACTACTATTTTGACTCAGAGATATCTGTATTTGGACTGGGGAAAAGCTGTTTAAAATGGTTATTTTTCAGCAAGAAAACTTACGGGACTTTTATTGTAACACTTCAGATGAAGTCTCATGAGGGAACACAGTTTCTCTTCCCCCCCCTCCCAGCCCCTCATTTCTGAATTCTTAAATAATTAGGATAAAATTACATTATCACATGTGGAATTAATTGAATTAATGCTGCTTAAAGTCTTTAAAACATTCCTACCTAAATGAACTCTTTGCTAATACAAGCTGAATTTTTCTGCTCTCCAGGCCAACTTTTGCACAGTAAGTGGTATTTGTGCCCAGGGAGGCCTCAGTGTAATGCCCTTTTTTTGCGAGTTCTAATAAAAGGCTGCTCTGTTTTGGCTCCTAATTAGAATAACACTATAAATAACCTCTTTGTAATGAGGACTTTTTTTAAAAAAAGTGAACCATTTTACTCCAGAACCTCCTGGTGCAGATTGTGTCACCATGTGGTAGATCTGCCTTTCAGGGTAAATATACCTTCCAGAACTGCATTCCAGTAGGGGTAGCAAAGAGTGCCAGAAGGTAAAAAAATGCAGTCTTGGGAGAAAAGCTGTAAACTACCTGATACAAACCAACACACACACACAAACAAACAAACAAAAAGCTGCTGTTTTAATATACCTTGGGAAGAGTCCATAGTGCTTAATGAAGCAAAACTCATGCTGATTAAGTTCTGGACTTAATTTTTAGATTGGTGTACGTTATGCTTGTGGAAAAGAACTTGGAGACTTTGTTTTTTTTCCTACATTAGATTCATTTTACAGAAAAAGTGCTGTTGTGGGCAGTAATGACTGCAAAGGCATGATCACTCTTGAAGCAAGACCAGATACATAACACAGTGACAGCAGAAAACGAAAAATCCACCATCTTTTGCTGTGCAAAAGATGATCTAAGGATCTAATGCAGTTTTTATTTGGATGATAGCATATTTAGAGTATATTTCCTTGACTTTCTCCAGAAGATCTGAAGCAATACCATGCCTCCAAAAAGCTCACTCATCTGTTTTGTGAGCTGCTTTCAGAAAATAGCACACATCTTTTTCCTTTGTAATGCTTTGGTTTCTCAAAGGCAGTCACTTAGTTTTCACTTTTCTCATAGATGTACTTCATCTATTGGCATTTGACATATTTGTCATCATCATTCTGTTTTGCACACTGTGAAATAGATCCGCTTGCAAGAAATTCCTACCATTTTTTCTCTCGTGTTAGTCTCAGTAACTAACACTTCAAGCATATTTCTGTAGAGTTCCAGGTGGTTAATTAGAGCACAGGATAAATGACTACTAATGAAAACTTAGGATTCAACAATTTTTCAATTTATTATTGTTTAATAAGGAAAGCTCAAGATAAATTACATGTAGAGTAGATACATTCCCCACATTGAACTGGAGCATTGTGAGAGTTTGAGAAATCTCTATATGAATTACAAACTCTAGTTCAGGTTACTACAGATTTACTGTAAGAAAACTGCTGTCTCAGGAGTTGTTTTCTCAGCACTGATGGATACATACTAGTTTTTCAGTACATGTTGATTGGATGGAAATGACCAGGAGAGCTAAACAAGATTTTTTTTTTCTGAATGTCTGTTATATAAACTATGACTTATCCCTGAAAATTTAATTTCTAGTCCGAAGGCCCCAAAAACCATAAGCCTCCGGGGGAAAGGTATACATTGAATGACAAGAACAACCAAGAAAGAAGGCATGGTGGTTCTCAAGGATAGGTGGGGGATAAAACTGGTCTCCACTCCTGGGAAGACACCCACAGACTGAGTGCTAGCACCACAGAACTGCCTGAGCCAGAGCAATTAATCATCCCAAGAATTTGACTGCTAGATTCCCCTGAGGCAGGAGGTGATGGTGCAAGAAGTGGTGGAAATGCTCACATCTCTAATCCAGCAAAAGCAAGAGGACTCTTGCCGCCAGAGGATGGCAATGCCTTCCAGCCTGTGGCTCTCATACCGCTTGTGTGTGTTGACTCTAAGAAGCGTGTTACAAACTTGTGCAAACTGAGAAACTTGGCATTCAGAAAGTTCAGGCACTTGAGGGTTAAGGCTGCTCATGTAATTGCAGTTTGGGCTCCTTCTGCTAATGCTTTTTCTGATGACAACCTTCATTACTTAATCAGATAAGGATCTTTCCTGCAGTACTGCTGGCAGTGCTGTTAGTTGCAGTGTAGATCTTTCTGTCTGGTGAAAACTGAAGGTATTCATTAGAGCTCCACCTGTCTCAATGTGATGTTGCTTCCCATGAAAAACCCATTTTTGAGATGGGGGCAACTTTCAGGCAAGCACAAGAGGTTCTACTAAGCAACAAAAAAAGTTCAGGAGTATTTTGGTTTTAATTTTTAAGGATTTACTAAGAGGAAGGTCAGTCTCTTAGCCATATCTTCACTTTAGAAAATCAGTGCAGCTCCACTGTAATCACAGACAGTTCTCTCAGCTGCCAGATTTAAAATGATAGGTGTCATGTAGGCACAAACAATACATGACAAATATCCTAAGTGTTTATGATAACTGTGAAGCATTGCCCGTATCACAGTGTGCTACAGCCTGTTCCCAGGGAGGGAAAACCAGCATGCAGCTGACAGCTGCTCCCTTGCTGAGCAAATGCTTCTTTACAGGCACCACAACCCCCGGCTAGCTATTTCAAAAAGGGAGATGGGGGGCCTTCATCAGAGTTAATTATTGCCAGAAAGAATAAGCTGCAGCCTTACTTTCCTGTTAGCCTGATTTATAAGGGCTTTTCTATTGCCATTTGTTTGCTTGTTTTCCACTAGCCTGCTAAAGTTTGCCAAGCTCAGTGAGGTAGGAAGAAGGGACTCAATATTTTGCAGTTGAGCTTGCTGCTGCTGTCCTATAGCTTTTTCCATATGCTACTGTGGAACACGTTGAATTTGCATGCAACTGGTATTATTTTTGCAGCTTATTTTTTTCCTCTGTGTGGCTATTCCTCTATTTGCAGTGAGAAATAGCATGCTACCAGACTAAACCATGGAGATGTGAATGAATATCCTCGACTTAATGCAGCTGAGAACACTCCGGTATGACAAGGAATCACTCGGCCCAAGGGAATGAACTTTTCCCTAATGCAGCCTAGGTCTTGGGCAGTCTCAGTGCCCCACCAAAAAGTAACTCAGTACAGTCATTGACACAAACAAACAAACAAACAAAAACCCCAAACAAACAAACCCCCCAAAAATCTAATCGGGGATTTTAAAATTCCAGAATATTACTGACTGCCGTGCCTTCTTCTTTCTCCCTCCCTCCTTCCCCCGATATTTTGCTGAATTTTATTCCAGACTCTCAGAGGAGGAAGTGACCATTATAATATAGAATTGAAATTATAGTTATAACCAAAAGACAGTAATCCAAACCCAAGAATAAAAGCTGCTTTTACTAATGCAAAGGATGAAAGGCCATGGTTCCTCCATCAACTCATGGATACCAGAGCACAGCAAGAATGCAGGTGCATGCTTAATGCCTAATTTCAAGTGCAGCATCAGATACCAGAGCCCAAGACAACTTTGGGGGCAACCTGGGATTTTCTTCAGTCCTGCCAGGTTTGGAGTATATTGGTATTTCTGCAGTTAAGTTGTATAAAATACAAAGCAAGAACATGCAATCAGAGAGTGAATGCTCACTGTCATGGGGTTTTACCTGAAAAGAATGTTAAGTCGCACTGCGTCTCCTGTCCCATCCCAGAAGTCATTAAAAAAAAGAGGGAAAAAAAAAGAAATAAATAATAATAAAATAAAGAAAGTAGGAAAACAGCTAAGTTTGCCCGGCAATTACTGAGCAGGATTTATCACGTCCTCTTGAAGCACATGCCAAGAGGCTTTAGTGAATCGAGGCCACGGGGGCAGCCAGGGATGGCTGGGTACTGCCCCTCGACAGCTGTGCCCGGCCGGTGGGAGACGTCCCCGCGGCGGGGTTTCTGCTGGGTGGGGCGTGCTGTGGGATGCGGGAAATCAGTGATCCAGGGAAGGCCACCGCGCAACCCTTCGGAGCGGTCCCTGCAGGAGGACTCTGTGCTGCCAGGGCTGTGTCTGTGACCGCTCAGCGCATCCCGCTCCCGGTGCATCCCGCTCCCAGCGCACCCCTCTCCCGGCGCATCCCGCTCCCAGCGCATCCCTCTCCCGGCGCATCCCGCTCCCGGCGCATCCCGCTCCCGCCGCTCCCCCGCGCATCCCCGAGCACACGCCGCCCCGACGCCTTTTCCCCCCAATACCCTCCCAGGCCGTTCCCTCGCCCAGCCCCGCGGTCCCTCCGGCACCGCCCGTCCCCGGGGCTGGATCCCCGCGGCCGCCGCCCCCGCTCCCCCGCGGAGCCGCGCTCGGGCGACGCCGCCTCCCCGCCCCGCCGCCGCCATGGCGGAGCGGAGCCGCGGCTCTCGGCGGCGGCTGCTGCTGCTGCTGCTGCTGGCCGGCTCCGCCGCCAGCCCGGCGGAGGAGGGCGGCGGGCGGCGGGAGGCGGGCGGCGGAGAGCACGGCGAGGAGGCGGCGCGGCACCACGACTCCTCGTACGGCACCTTCGCCAGCGAGTTCTACGACCTGCGCTACCTCTCCGAGGAGGGTGCGGCGGCGGCCGGGCCGGGCGGCGGGGCCGGGCGGGGCGCGGCGGGCGAAGGGCACGGCCCGGCCGGGGCCGGGAGGGAGCGCCGGGCCGGGCGGGCGCGGGGGCGGCGGGCGGGAGGCTGTGGCAGCGCTGTTCAGCACGAAGGCCAGCGCCCGCCGCCATCTTCCGCCGGCCGGGCGGCCTCAGGCAGCGCTGCCGCTCGGCGCCGGGGCCGCAGCGGGAACCGGGTGCCCTGCCCTGCTCTCCGCGGAGCCGCCGCCTCGCTCCACGGGCATCCCCGGACACGGACATGCCCCGGGAGGGGGCTCAGGCCGGGCGCCGTCGCTTTCCCGCAGAGCGGGGCCTCGCCTTCCCCTCTTGCAAAGCTTTCCGGGCTGGTAGCGTAAAAAGGAGTGCTGTGGTGTGTGGGCTTCGAAAGGACGTGTGATGCCCTGAAGTGTCAAGAAACAGCATGGTTGTGGGTTTTGGTGTGTTTTTTTTTTTAAATTTACAAATGGTGGAATGTTAAAATTCCGCTTTTGCGGCTAGGCTGCACTGAAAACCATTTGTTCAATGGATTTGAAAATAAGTAAGGAGTGAGAAAATTGCATGTTCTGTGGCCTGTGTTTCAGTAAAGCGCCACTACACGCTGCTGTGAAATTCTTCAACTTATTTATGAAGCGTAGTTTACCTGGCCCTTGATACAGTTTGTGCAACTGTGATTTGCAGCTTACAGCACACTTTCTCCATTGCCATTGTCAGAAATCTAGGGAAGTGAATCAGGACTCCCGAATGCCCAAAGTCATGTAGGTCAAAAGTTTGTGTGCTGATGCTGTAGCTATCTGCAGTGTTCATTCCCTACTCAATGAAGCACTTTTCCTACTCGTGTTTTCAGAGGACTTTCCAGTTCCACAGCAAGCACTTTGGTTTTCATCTGGCCAAGTAAAAGAACATCCTATTAAAATATATGTGCTTATGCAACAGACACCATTTCCCACAAGCCAAGACTGAATAGGTCTGCTAGTAAACGTTCTCACTTTCTCTTTGGTATTATAGTCCAGCAGATGGGATTGCTTGGTATTGTAACTCTCATTGTCTGGCTCTTCTAGGTCTGCCTTCACAAGTGATTGCAGGCCATAACTGCGGGCAATTCCCTGTCCTGATACTCTCTTACCTTTTACTGCAATGTGTGTTTTATTTTACTTCATAAAGGAGGATGTATTATAAGGCCCTTTCAGTATCAATTCCTACAGCTCTGCATCTGGTGCCCTGCCTGCATTTATACCTAATGCTGTCATTTGTCCTTTCTTTTTTAAGGAGTCAGTTCCCTTACGGATTTCCTGAGGGGACTACGAGTGCACAAAGAGAGAGCTGAGCAGATATTCCTAATTGTTAGTTGACTGCAATAGTCCATGGTCCTGCTGCCCTACATTTAACTTTTCCCTCCAGCATTGTTCTCCCTCCTTGATGAATGTAGGAAACCTTAGAAAAGTTTTGTTTTCAGTTATTCGTGTTACTTTGGTACCTGGATCCAGGACCATCTGAGCAGTGGATTGTGTACGTGGCAAAGTAGTCACTCATGTGAACAGTTAAAGTAGATGCTACTGGAACACCTTCTCTTTAGTATTATTGATTTTTAGTCCTTGCATTTTATTTAGTAATGATTTATTCTGATTATACAGGTTACCCTTTCCCTACTGCTCCTCCTGTGGACCCATTTGCAAAAATCAGAGTTGATGACTGTGGAAAAACCAAGGGATGCTTCAGGTCAGTCTGAGATAAGAGTACAGTTACCTTTATGTTTATAGATGCTGACTGATGATATTGGAGACTTTGGTTAGTGTTTCATAGTCATTTTAATAAATGTTTGTTATTTAAGAACATACTTCATAGTACAAGCTATATTATTTGAGGACACTCGTTTATTTAAGAATATGTGTCATAGTTATGGACCTATAGTTCTTTCTTGCATTTTCATGAAGCACTTAAAAAAACAGAGCAAGGAAGGTCAACAGAGTAATATTTTGTGTTATTATTTTCTGTACTGTTTGAATACTGCACATTATTACACTAAAAGAGTAATAATTACAAACAATGCTACTTTATGTCCAGCAGAATATATGCTTTACTGCCATTTACCAAAATACACCCTCTTAGTTTTTTCTTGCAAAACCTTAATTAAGTTCCATAGCAGGAAATTTCAAGGCAAAAGTTATGTATATTTCCAATTCCATTTAGGTATGGTAAGCCTGGGTGCAATGCGGAGACTTGTGACTACTTTCTAAGTTACCGTAGAATAGGAGCGGATGTTGAATTTGAGTTGAGTGCCGACACAGATGGCTGGGTGGCAGTGGGATTTTCCTCAGACAAGAAAATGGTAAGATACAGTACAGTTTTTCATGTTGGCAATATACATACTGTCACATGCTAGGATATAAATGGTTTATATACATTTATATATTTGGTCGGTGAGAAATAGAGAATATAAGGTAAAACTGGCTTGCTGAAAACAAAGCACCATTCAGTAGACCCCCTGGGAGCACTGCCTCACAGAAAACTGCTTCATCCTTCCTAACATCTCCTTTCCCTTCTTCTCTAAGAACTACAACAGTGTTTCAGATCAGCTCTGAATGTTTGAATGTCACTAGCTTTTTGCCTTTTTATTAGAAAAGTCATCAGGGATAAGCCAATTCACATGGAAATGTCCTGTTGTGCTTTATGTCAGTGTAATTTGGGCAAAAGACACACCATAAACTGAATAGCAAATAATTTTATTCTTCAGAAAATCAGCTGACTTTCAGCAATAAAAATTTTTATTTCACTGTTTAACTTGGGAAATTTTTTTGTTTCTTTCATACCTATGTTTTGTTCCAGGGAAGCCACAAATGTGTGAGAAAATGACTCCTGCTAATTTAAACATATATACTCAAAAAGGCAGTCTTGTTAAAATTTGTTCCCTTCCTTCTGATTTTTATTGGGTTCTGTTTTGTGCTTATTCCTGTGCTTACTTTTTCATTCAAAAGCTCCACTTTTCATTGAGTTTCAATGAGTGAAACAGCCTGTAATGTGTGGACTGTAAAAAACCTGGGCAAGGTTTTTTAAGGTGACTTATGCAAAGATGTTTTTGTCTGTGATCCTTGGTAAAATGTTTAAGATTAAAATGCAGTTTATAATATAGATGTTCATGTACAGAAACTCTCCTGAGCATATAGAACAATACTGGACCTATGTCCTAAATCACAAGTCAAAGAAAGAACTGTTTCTTGTAGTGTTGAACGTAGCAGTCTGAAAAAATACAGGAATTAAATCCTGGGCTAGGACCTACAAAAGATTATTTGGAAGACTTGCACTGACTTAACAGCATTTTTAATAGACTCAAAATGAGAAATAAAAAGAAAATATGAGTGTGACAAGTGCTTCTCAGTCATTATTACATGTGTTTTAATATGGGACTCTAAATAAACACAATGAAGATAGAAGGTTTTTGTGTCACAAAGAACAGTTCATGTCACAAGAAACAGTTTGTGGTTTTTATACTAAGAACAGCTTTACAGCCAAATTTTGGAAGAGTTTAGAAGCTTGCCAATGCAGGTACTTAACAGGGTTTTCAAAGCAGCTCAGCACCTTTAAGTGTTTGTCCCCAAGCTATCAGACTGTGTTACCAGTTGGTAACTCTGAGGTACCTGCAGTGGACCCCAGGGTCCCACTGCCCTCCTCTCATCAGCCACTTGGAAAGCAGGCACAGCAAGCATCAGGTTAAGTCTGAGCTTCTGGTAAAAAGAATAAGGGAAGTCTAAAGTAAAAGGTTTTGTTTCCAAATTTGCTCTGTATATCGTGTAATGCCCATAATTCAGCTGGGTTAAACCAGCTAGCATCTGTCTTTCTCTCTGGCTCCCCTGGTGGCTTCATCTTTTTCATAACTTCCAGAATGTTTTGGTGTCCTGGGATGCACATGCTTTGATGATAAAATAGCTTTGGGTCAAAACAGCTTAGCTGTGAGAAATGGGCTGTGCTTTGGAGGCCCTAATCAAAATGGTGTGGCCTGGATAGCTTCAGAAGTTAAGGAAAAAAAAAAAAAAAACTACTTTGTGTCCTCAATAGATTTTTTTAAAGTCCTATGACCTATTTCTTTGTCTCAAATAACATTATGTTTTTTCACTTCCAGACTTTTGTGCCTTGGCAGGATTTTGAAATGTCATTCCTGTTAACTGAGATTCAAAATGCTTTTTTCTTTCCTTTTTAGTTTTCTTTTTCCTTCAGTGTAAAAACACCTTTATTTTTGCCTCTTTGTTCTTAAGAATGAGGGATTTGTGCTTAGATGTATAAAAAACTTGCGAAATAAGTTATGGAGAGTGATGATAGTGTGAAGACAGAGGCTGGAAAGGTTGTCTGCATCAGCACCAAGGTGCAGAAATTGTTCAAGCATATGTTTTACCTAGTTGTCCCCCTTTTCCCCTCTCTTCTGGCACATCTTTTACAAAGGCACATTGCAATATTCCCAAAGTGCTGAAATACACCCTTTTCCTCTGTTTTCCCTGTAATAAAGTACTGAGGGATGATAACACTAGCAAGCATAATGTCTTTCTTTCATCAGTATGTGACATACCAGAAGGACGAGTATGGGAGGAGTAGAGCCTGTGTTTAATACAACACTTAGAGCTGTGGCACTCATCCATCTTGGATAGTGTTCTAATGGCTCTTGGTGCTAAGGCTTCTACGAGATAGCACTCCTGAAGTAAATGCTCATCCCTGTGCTCTACCACTCTGTCAGTCACCTTGAGTAACTAACTGCTTTAGTATTTCCATGAATGACCTCTACAAATAGGTGGCTCCTTCTTCCTTCTGTCTTTTGGTTCTTTGGTGGCTGTTTATGCTAAGTGAAGAAGCACATATTGATTACTTTTTTTTTTTTTTTTTTTGTATCTTGTATCTTTGTATCCTGTGGTATATTGTATTCTGTTATTACATGCTGAACATTTCTTATAAGAAATAAAAGAGATGAGAAATGATGTTCCCTAAGTGAACATGAGAAGAGATTAGAAAAGAATTACTGTAATTGATGCTATTATTTTCTCATATGCAGTAAGTTTATTTCCTTTGTTGCACTAAAGTATATTGGTTTTCTGTCCATGATTTAATGCAGTGGATTTTGTACACATCAGGGATTCAAGACTGCCACATTTTATGAAGCAGTATGCCAGAACTTCACAAATAACAAAAGAAAACAGCTTTCCACAGATCAGTTAATTATGTGATATCGTATCCTACAAATATATGTTAAGCAAAATAACTTTTAGAAAGATCCAAAAGAGAATTCAGAGATAGTAAGGGATACATAGATGTAACTATTGCTACCCACTTAATGTGCTTTTCTATCTTACTTAAGATACCTGGTTGGGGAACAAATATTTGTGTATATATAACTTAGAAAGAAGGAAAGAGCATCCCAGGTCTTGATTAGTTTTGAATAATTAAAATTATACACATAAATGAAGAAGTGTTTTATGACCCTTTTGTTTTCCATCTTCCAATTTTTTTTAACCTTGTAGGGAGGAGATGATGTTATGGCTTGTGTTCATGATGATAATGGAAGAGTGCGGATACATCACTTCTATAATGTTGGTCAATGGGCTAAAGAAATCCAGAGAAATCCTGCTAGAGATGAGGAAGGCGTTTTTGAAAACAATCGTGTGACGTGTCGATTCAAGCGTCCTGTGTATGTTCCCCGAGAAGAAACCATTGTAGATTTGCACTTGAGTTGGTACTACCTGTTTGCTTGGGGTCCAGCAATCCAGGGTAAGTTGATCTCTGTGTTACCAACTGAGTTGATGTGCCAAAATTGAGAAATTTCTTTCAATGATTCTTACTAGATATGCCCTCTCCCCCCGCTCCTTTTTCAAATGAACTAAAGTTCTGGAAGCATCAGGCTTAAAAGAAAGACAAGAGTCAAACATGTCTTGTTTTCTTGGCTATATATCTACTATCCCCACTTCCTAAAGCTAAATTTAGAAGAACTTCATAACCCAAAGTTCTTCATTCCCTTGAAATACGCTTGTTGTTTTTACTTGAATTTAATTTATTTTATTCAGAAAGCAGTGAAATGAGCTTACTCCCTGACAGTGTAATATGGCATGCTTCTGTAGGTTTGAAAATTACCTGTCTGCCTTCCAGTTTCTTTGGCAGAGTTATAGAAGAAATTGCATCTGATGTTATTTCTTTCTGCCCTTACCTGCTAAAGGTTCTATAACTCGTCACGATATAGACTCTCCACCCGTGTCGGAGCGTGTTGTCAGTATTTACAAGTACGAAGATATTTTCATGCCTTCGGCTGCCTATCAGACCTTCTCTTCTCCATTCTGCTTGCTCCTCATTGTTGCACTGACCTTCTATTTATTGATGGGAACCCCATGACCAATGGAAAATAGCAAGAATTTGGCATTGGAAGTTTCTCAGGATGGACGGCTATATGAATGGACAATGCATTTTTCTATTGGAATTTATATCACATCACCATCCTCATCTAGATGCTTTTGAACATAGCTTCTCAGAAGAGTGAAATAACCATCTCCCTTGAGTGGCAGAGTGGTGACAAATCATTTAAGAATAATCAGTGAACAAATAGGAGAATATTTTCTGTGTTGTGACTACTTGCTTAAGAAAAATGAGACTTTTGTAAAATCTCTGTGTGTGTGTGTGTGTGTGTGTGTGTGTGTGTGTTTGGGAGGGGTGCCTGTATGTGTGTTTAGGTCAATTTAGTGATGGACATCTTATCAAATAACAAAATTGCCTTTCAAATTGCTACAAAAAAGCAAATTTGGGAAAATTCTGCAATGCTGTTTGGTACTTCTAGAGCAGAGAGCACAACTCCAAGTGCAATTTCTGATCTTAAGATCTGTAAACCAACACAGCAGTATAAAACCTGCCCTTCAGTAGCAGACAGTTCTCCCATTTTTTTTTTTTTAATTTATATTTATCAAAGTGTACTTGCTGTGGTCCTTTCCAAAACTAAACTTGCATATTCAAGCATTAGCATGATTTTTTTTTCAACAGAAAAAGGTGATGAATGTCTTTATTGTGTTTCAATAACCTTTTTGAAAGAAATGGCTACTTCTTTTAAGAGTGAGATATGAAGTAATTTAAACAAGGGGAAGGGAGAATACAGCAATATAAATTCTCCATACATAGGAAAACTAGGTGTAAAACATGCAGAATATAAAAGTCCCCAACAAGCCATAGGATATCCTCCTAATAGATTCAATCAAATTTTCTCTTTTTATGAAAAAACCAGCAATTTTGCTGACATGTAAATATATTTTTAAGTAATTGTGTAATAGTATGAAGTAATCTCTTTTTCTGTGTTGTATGCCACTAAATCCTGTTCAAGTAAAGGGTGACTGTGGGCAGCTGGTGTTATCTTACAAAGAAATATAAATGAGATTACTTGTAAGGAAAGACAGGGATTAATAAGAACAGCAGTATCTTTCATTCATCAAACCACTGCTAAGATATAGGTAGTGTGGAAAAAGGTGAGCTCAAAAGGAAAAAAAACCCTGTTTCTATCACCAATAAATAGTAGAAGAGGAATGCTAAATATTACGGAGATGAAAAGTGTCAAAATGCATTTATGAGCTACAGAATATTATAAAAACTTTGAGTGGAGAATTTCTCTTCTTCACATAATAGGAAGTGTATGATACGTTTACATGAAGCAGTCAAACGTGCTTAGGTAAGGTTACTCATTCACTTTCCAACTTAAACTAAAATTCTACTTAAGTAGAATTAAAATCTAAATAGTGCCAAAGTTTGATCTCATGTGGTACACTTGAGGACTCTCTAACACAGAAACTGGTAAAGTATATGTAATGCAACTCCTTTTTATTCTCGTTACTGCATGGAGTATAAAATGATTAAGTAGCTTGGCTGGGATTGCACCATTATTCACAGATTGATGTTTGTGGACTAAGTATTTATAGGCTCAGAATTCTTCAAATCTATGCTTAAGGTATATGAATTAGATTGAAGATGAACTTATCTTCATAACAAACACTTTATCCCTATTTCAAAGGATCGATTAATATTTTATATTTTCATTGCTGTCTTTAAGGATTTGTTTACTTAAAATTACTGGACTAGAGTTCAGGAGAGGGAAGAGAAATTCAGAAGTGAACTTCTAAAGTGCATACAGTAGCTTTATTTAGTATAAATTACTTCTCTCAGGTTGGTTAACTTACTCATCATCTGATCAAGTAGAGGCCACCTAATAAGGTCTGCTTTGGCCCACAACAGCTGTGTAATTTAGCCTTAAGATTGGCTGGAGCAGATAAGCAGAAGCCTGGATAATGAGCTTTACATTCAGCAAACAGGTGAAGTGAAGAAATCATTAGGGTAAATTCTTTCTTCTTTGTGCTGGTTTATACACAGTTGAGATATTGCAGTTCTTTCTCAGAGCCTGAGGGCTGCTTTAGTTTATGGCTTGGTTTTTACCGTTTCAGCCATTTACTTGATTACCCACTAAAGGGCTAATTTAATAATTTAAAGGTACTGAACTCAGATAGAAATCCAGTTTGGCTCCTCTTTTCTTCTTTAATAGAGCTCTGGATTTAGCATGGCCTGGTTGGACCTGAGCACACAGGTAGGTTATAGATTGCAATAATAATACCAAGGTAAAATTGTGTGACAGCTGTCAGTCTGTTTTCTACATATATGGAGTCAGATGTGGTTAAAGTTCAGGATTTGAAGCAAGAGTAAAGTATTTTATATTATTTTTTTATTCCTTTTTCAGATTACTTGTAAGTGTGCTGTGTTTTTGTCATTTTTTTCTTTCTAGCAGAAATGTGCACTTCTAAGAAATTTTTCACTTAAGCTTCACAGTACTTAATTAGCCTAATAAGGCATTTCTAATCAAAAGGGAGGAAATAAAAGGCCACAGGAAGCAGCAAATCAATCTATTATCTGGCATTTAAATGGATGGTTGAATTTAGCACTGAGTTTATCTAAGAGTTCCTCTTCACAGTGGGAAAATCAGGACTGTGGAATTCAAGTTGACAAACAAAGAAGGTATGAGTATCTAGAAATTGGTAGTTGGGACGAAATCCGAGGAGAAATGTTACAATGGAAACATGGTATGTAAGTTTGTATGATACTTGGTAAGTCTTAACATTTGAGTGGGCATAGTAACTTGTCATGGAGAGTATTTTGGTTTTTGCATTTTGTCTTCTTGTTTTTCCTTTTAATACTGAAAAGCAGGATTTATCCCTGATACACAAAGTTACTTCAAAGTAATTTTTAATTGATTAGGCATTTCAAAGATTTTTTATTACTTTTTCTAATTGACTGGTACCAACACAAACTAGAAGAAAAGGCCTGCTTTGGAGAAGGAGGCAGATATTTCCCTCTCCAAATAATTTTTCTTTCTTTAGTGTGATTAATACCAAACAACTGTTAACAAACACATTTCTTAAGTGCTTTAGTTTTAAGAATTTTTTGTTGCAGAGTGACTTAATACAGAGGCATTGAGTTTAGAGAGGACATATTTAGAATATGGTGTTTGGAAATTTGACTATCGTTACTAATCAGAAAGGTGGTTTGTTTTTTTTTTGCATATTTTTTTCTTCATTGTTGGTATTAAATAACTGGGGTTTTTTTAGGTATAGGTAAAATGCTAATTGATTTCCCCCCCTCAAAAAAAAAAAGGCACCTAGCTGATTTGGTCATGTCATTGGATAATGGATGCTGCTGTCTTCTGTTATTATTAGGGAAATATTCTGGTTTTGAAAGAGAACATATTGATAAGTGAAGTTTGTACTCCCTCTGTGGCCATCTTGTTTGTCTTGATGGGTTTCGCAATACTTGGATAGTAAGAAAATAAACACTTGTAGCCTCCCTAATCTGAAGAACCCCTCATTTTGGATTAAATTATGTTAGAGCTGTGTTTGGCACTGACTTTCCCAGTCCTCAGCACAGGGATTAGAGAATGACTGGAGTGTGGTGTACATCAGCATGGCACCCAGGCAGTGGTCTTGAAGCTTGCTTGGGTCTCCATATCCTGGTCTGAACCAAAAAAATCCCGTGCAACTGCCTCTATGTACTAAAGAGCTATGCAGTTATTTCTTAGTTACTGATATAAGGGAAGATGCAGGTTTTCCCTTTTTTTTTTTTTAATTTGTCTTCTCCTTACTTTTTCATCCTTCCAATGCATCAGACATGTATAAAAATGAAAATTATTCATGTCTTAGAGAGTGGATCCTCTGTCTGGTCTTTCAGGTCTTTTCTGGGTCCATTGGAAGTTTGCACCTCCAATATTCCAGAGGCAGAATTAAAGTTTCTATGCAAATTATGTAACTTTAATAGCATTTAAATGGCATTTTGTGACTCTGTGGTTTCATTGGTTTGACACACTGTTGTGTAGCAGGTGTATTCCCCTTACCTTCTTCTTGTTTTAACATCTCCAAATAATTTCCCCAAAGTAAAGTATTTGGTAGTAGCCATAAGAAGAAGGAAATATGTATTTCAGAGAATTACAAAAGGTCTAATACCAGTTATTTTCAGAAGTAATTATTCTAGGTGTTAGTGTTTTGTATGAAATATGACTTTGCATAGAACCTTAGATTTATGATGGAATCAGAAATACTTTTAAATATTACAGTGTTTCAGTGCTTCATGGAGCTGTGGATGTGCATAGCTTACATGAATTGGTACGATCCTTTTCACCCCCCTGTAATGAAACTGGCAAAGCAGTTTGCTTGAATGCTGCACACTGAGGCATTGGTGACTCCAAACAGTTTGGAACAGAAGAATGGAGAGACTGGTAGTAAGGACAAATGACAAGGAAGGGCTAATGATTTTGGCATACTTTCTATTTTTATATAAATTTACATGTGGCAGTGCCCATCTGGCACTCTATCCAAGCAAATATTACTTGATGGAGGGTTAGGAAGAAATAGTCTGACTTAAACAGCTGGGACCTGCCTAAAAGCCAAAATCTGTTTTAAGGGCTGATGTGGGCACCATGCCACAAGATGTGCTCTGCTGTCAAGCCCCAAGGTAAGAGCTGGAGACTTGATCTGGCCTTCAGAGGTACAAAAACCCAGCAAGATCCCAGAGGCAATAGCAGCAGTCGGCTGCAGCAGGGAGTATCTGCTCAGTTTGTAGAATGGCCAGTGAGCAGGTACTCTCTGCTGGCTGCAGTCTGAGTATCAAAAGATGGGGGCTCTAAATCTTAACAGCTTTGTGCATTAGCCCCTCTAATTAAAATTTCATTATCAGTAGCAATTTGTTTGGGCAGCTTTCCCTGAACCTGCCCAGGATAGAGATGGATCCAACACGAAGATTTTAAAGAAAATGTCTAGTCCCTAATACAAAAATTAATAAAAATGAAAATAAATTTTTTAACCATATGCGAGCTTTTTGCTTTTTTTTTTCTTATCTAGTTATTTATGTGCAGTTTATATGTTGAGGTGTCTGATTTTTTGCAAGTACATAGTAAGATCTAAGTAAGCCTTCCTTTTCTAAACATTTTTTATTAATATGAAATAATCACTTTGGTAACTTTTTTTTTCTATTTTCACAGTAGGTTTGATAAAATTATATATGCTTGAACATGGTTATTTAACTTGCCTAATTTGGGCTCAGTGAGGCAAAAGCAGTGCAATTTTGAAATGTCAGAGAGGATGTGTGCAGCTTATGAAGTTGATAGGTGTGAAAATGTAGACTTAAAGACATTATTTGCTTAGAAACTCTGTTATGACTTGGCAATAGCAACGAATCTGCTGTAAAGAAAGGGACAGATTTTTTTTTTTTTTTTACCTTTGGATTACTAAGTATTTTGAATAGAACTCCTAGACTATCTCAGGTTGGAAGGAATCCATAAAGATCTTAGAGCCCAACAAACTGTGCTCCTCACAGGACTGCTTAAAACTAATCCATGTGACTCAGAGCATCATCCAGATGCTCCTTGAACTTCCCTGTAGAGCCTGTTCCAGTGACTGGGCACTC